CAGGCAGTGTCGCCTTTCGTAATTGACAGAATGAAATTTTGTCAATGTGTAGATTTTCTAAGTGCCGTCCAAGGCTTTTTGATATGACACCCAGCGTGCCAATAACCATTGGGACCACCGCTGCTGGTTTATGCCATAATCTTTCAACATCGATTTTCAGATCTTGATACTTTGTGATCTTCTCCAATTCTTTGTCTTGTACTGTCCCCTGATGTTGCCACATCAGTTAGCCACACTTTCTTCTATCCAACCATTGTTAAATCTGGTGTGTTATGCTCCAAGACTTTATCAGTTTGTATTTGGAAATCCCACAATATTTTAACCTGCTCATTTTTGACTACTTTTTCAACTATGTGTTCCCACCAATTTTTCATTACTGGCACATGATAGTTTTTACAGATGTTCCAGTGAATCATTTTGGCAACTGTGTTATGTCGTCCTTTATACTCTGTGCGATCTTCTTGCATGAACTAAGTATATGATCTACTGTTTCTTCTGCTTCTTTGCTCTTGAGCAGCCAAAATCAAGCCTTCAGTTTCTTTTTTTAACGTTCCAGTTGTAACCCATTGCCAGGTTTTATGTTTGTCCACTTTCCCCTCAATCTTTTGAAGAAATTGACCATGTAATGCTTTTCCTTGCCAGCATTCTGTTCGTGTTTTTATTACATTATTTTAAAATCCATGTTTTGTTTCCTGTAAGTTCCAATTTTTAACTTGCATCAGTGCTTGTTCTTGGCTGTCTTTTGCATAATCTGCCAATGCATGCTTTTCTTCTTCGACAGTTTGTTTGACTTGAAGTAAACCTCCGCCTCCATTTCTGTGGGGCAGGTATAAGCTATCAATATCACTATGGGGGTGTAATGCATAGTGAATAGTCATCAGTTTTCTTGATTTTCGGTCCAAACTGTCCAGTTCAGCTTGTGTCCAGTTAATAACTCCAGCAATGTATCAAATGACAGGTATGGCCCGATGTTGATGGCTTTGATGCTGTTTCCACTGTTCAATTTTGTCTTTAGCAATTTGCTCACTCTTTGGATGTATTCTTTACTAATCATATTTTTAACTTGTCCATGCTTGGTGTTATCCAGCTTTAAAATGCTCAGTTACTTGTAGGCTTCATCTTGATGGCTCCTGATGGTTTGGCCATTCAGCATTTCAATTCCATTACTGTTCGTGATTTTACCCCAATTTATTGCCACTGTAGCACATTTCTGTAGCCCAAATTCCATTGCTATATCTGTGCTAAAAATTCTTACGGTATTTGTCAAAGACTGGATTTCAATTTCTGATTTTCCATAAAGCTTCAAATCATCCTTACAAAGCAAATGTGAGATTTTATTAGCATTTTTTGGTGTTTGATAGCCAAGATATTATTATTGTTGTTGGTCGTACAATCAGCCAGATGTTTAGACTGGATTTTGCATTATTATTATTATTATTATTATTATTATTATTATTATTATTATTATTATTCAATTTATATATAAAATAACAGCTTATTGTTCTTACCATTGAAATTTTATGGGAAATTATGGAAGGGCTGGAGAAAATTATGTGCATGCAGATTGCATGTGGCCTGTGGGGTGACCACTCTGACGCTACAAAAATAATATCATAAAACAATAATTATCTGATAGTTGCATAGCAGTTTACCTTTGATAAAAGATATTTGGGTATTGTTGCAGTTTTGCCATCAAAAGGAAACATTTCCAAAATTCCATCTACTTTTCAGGATCAGAATCTGCAGAATCAATTCATATAGAAGGTATTGGGAAAGGAAGATATTCAGAAGTACAATCTCCAACAGGTATTTTTAATGCAACATTTAGTAAAAACCAAAAATAAAACAGACTCAGCTACATCTGCCAGTATTGCCACAACATTCTTTCTGCCCCTTTCTCATTCTAGTCTCTGCCCTTGTTACTATATTATTCTAAATTAACCCAAACCAATGGCTTTCATTTTAATTTACTTGAACTGAGCTGCAAAATCTGTTGTGGGAACTCTTTATTTACAAATAATAAGAGAAGTAACTTGGAACTGCTTTGCATGCAGCTCCTCCTACAGCCACAGCTAGTCTCTGCAACTCAGTTTGTTGGCTTCCTCCTTTAGTTTTCAGCGGAGTAGTGTTTTCTTTCTCTCTTTCCATTTCTCTCTCCACAACCAAGTTAAAGGTATCCTTGACTATTTTTTTTTTTAATCTGTTCAGTCATGTCCGATTCTTGGCAAGGCTTGTCAGAAGTGGTTTGCCATTGCCTCCTTCCTAGGGTTGACAGAAACTGACTGGCCCAAAGTCACCCAGCTGGCTCTGTGCCTAGGCAGGACTAGAACTCACAGTCTCCTGCTTTCTAGCCCGATGCCTTCACCACTACACCAAACTGGCCCTTTGTTTTATACATCTCTACAAATTAAAATATATTCACAATTCCACTTTCCAGTTTAATAGGGCTGGGCAAAGTACTTGGAGGATGCTTTGCAAAGTGATCGATGTATCCACCTAGATCTCCTCCTCAGAGTGTCGAGATGGCTGTGTTTCTTCAAGGTTAGGCACTAGTTCTGAGGTTCTTTTCCAGTTAATCCGAGGATGTGTGTACATGCATAGAAGACAGTTTGCTTCATTTTGGCAGCAGTCCCAGTGGAAAGAGGATCGCTGTAGTGGGAAAAGGCAGCCACATTGAGCCATGGAGAGTGATGGCCATTGAACAGTGGGCTCAGAGAAGTGCGTCACTGGCTTTGTGCACAGCCCTACAATTTAACATACAATTAATTGTTCCAGTAAAATAATTTGTAGTGGCTTAATCACATTGATTTCATTGATTAATTGATTACATTTGAATCTGTTTGCTTATAAATAAGTTATAATTTCAAAGTGCCCTTGTTTTGTTTTTAAATAATGCACATACAACTTCAGTAGACACCATTTTGGAAGAGGTAGCAATTCCGTTTGTATGAGACGGAAGAAGGTAAGCCTCTTCTGAATTGAAACCTTGACGTTCAAAGATATTTGCAACTTTTTTCAGCGCTACGTGATTAGAGAAACTTCTGTTAATTATGTTGTGTCTGTTAACTAAGTGCTGGAGCCCTATTAATGTGACCAAACATGAGTGAAAACATTTTGACTTAACTAACATTGTTCCCTCTGCTTTATTCCTTTTCACGTTTCTGTGTTTTATTCTCACATTAATCAAGTTAATTCCTGCATTGTTTCCTAACCTGCTTCTTAGGCAATGTAGTTGATCTAACCAGGACCACAGTGGCAGCAGGTACCTCATGCAGCTTTGATCCAACCAATCATGATCAAAACAATGTCCAGCAAGTCTCAGATGAAGGTAGAGTTTTGGTTAACGCTGATACTCCAGATGAATCTGAAGTGTCGCTTAAATGTAGGTGACTGTCATGTTTTCTCTTTGGGACTAATTTACTAAATTGTGCATACTAGTCTCATTTAATCTGAGCTTCTCTGAGAGTAATGAATGCTTTCTAATATATGTTTTTGGGAGGAAAGTAGGATCTTTCATTCTGTTCAGGCTCAGGTGCTTGCTTTGAGAGTAGAGCCTGGTTAACCTAAGACCAGTTCATTCAGTGCTTTCTCTTACTGATTATTTTAAGAGTCCCATTGTTATATTTGTCTTAACATAACTCCTGTTCATGATACAGCACATTTACGCTGAAGTCATATGATAATATTAGTTTATTAACGAAGCTAAGAGGAAGCTGAGGTATGCAGCAGACATTTCCTCTGATTATGGTAATATTATTAGATAATTTTCTATTTTCTTCCATGAAATGTCTAAATATATTTTATTCTATATAAAGCAGCTTCCTATATTCCTGTCAGTTTATTCTCTTAAAGTGGTTAATTAAAGAAGAACACAACATTGCTTTCATGGTATTTTCAATTTCCATTTGCCAAAGCGTCATCTTCTATTAATATATAAGTGTTTCATGATATATTATGTTCTGCCTATGTGATTTATAGTGATGTTAAGTAACAGGGCAAGGCCCCTCCCCCAGCATAGCAGACTCATCAGTAAGCAAGCTTTCAAACTTTATATATATATATGTATGTATACACACACACACACACACACACACACACACACATACTTTTGCATGCTGAACCTCTCCAAAGATTACTCCTTGTGCTTTTTTGCACAGCTGACATAGGCTCTGAATATAGCTTAGAGGAGATAGAGGAGAAGGAAGAAGTGTATGATGATTCCATCAGTGCTCCTGAAGTTCCGCTAGATGTTCAGAAGCATGAACCTGCTTCTGATCCAAGTTTTGGTATTGGACACAATGCGCCAGAGTCAAATGAAGAAAAAACAGAAAAGATGAGTGCAAGTGATAAGTAAGTACAGTTAAGTTTGGTATGATTTTGTTGTGAGGGTAAGGAACTGAGTAACTTATCCAAGCTGGGTACATCATCTCACATTACAGTAACTGGAATGGGAGTTCTAAAGCGAGGGCTAAAAAGTTGTGCTATGTACTGCTGTTAGTGCTGGATGTAGTAAAATAAGGGTTAATTAGTGGTTCTCTAAAAAAAGAAAAGCATTATGGCTGGTGAATATACCAAAGATTAGCAGCCTATGGTTCTCATTTTTTTCAGCCTGGAACCCCCAACATTGCACTATTGAGGCTTGGTAGCAAATAGTTTTGATGGCATTATAATGTTTTTGGTTTCTTACTTTTTTTCCTGAAATTATTTATTTATTTAGCAAATGTTTATAACCACCCATCTCACTGAAGTGACTCTGGGCGGCGTACAACAATCTGATAAAAAGACAGATAAAAACAACAGAAGAAATATAAAAAAAACCATATTAATAAATACTGTAAAAAAACAAAAATACAAACCATAGGGGAAGGGAGAATAAAAATGCCTCTCTTAGCAATCGTCTAAGCAGGTCTCTGGTTCCCTGGGAGCCCGAGGCCTGATCACATAACCAGGTCTTGAGGGCCTCTTGGAATAGCAAAAGAGATGGCGTTAATCTAATCTCAGGAGGAAGGATGTTCCATAAGGCAGAGAAGGCACATGTCCTGGCACCTGCCAAATACAGGTCCCTAGCCAATGGTACCCGCAGCATACCTTCTCCACGAGATCTGATGGAGCAGGCTAATGTAACTGGGGAGAGGTAGTCCCTCAAATAGTCCAGTCCCATGCCATGAAGGGCTTTAAAGGTTAAAACCAGCGCCTTGAATTGGACTCAGAAGCAAACTGGCAACCAATGCAGCTCACAGTGCAGAGGTGTAACATGGGCTGTTCTTGGAGCGCACATAACTGCCCATGCCACTGCATTCAGAACCAGCTGAAGCCTCTGGATACTCTTCAAGGGCAGCCCCATGTAAAGAGCATTGCACTAGTCCAATCTGGAGGTGACTGGGGTGTGAATGACTGTAAGCAGGGCCTGCTGATCCAGAAACAGGTGCAGTTGGCACACAAGATGGAGCTGTGAGGTGGGTTGGGCTGAGAGTGCCTGGCTCAAGGTCACGCAGCTGGCTTTCTTCCCTAAGGCAGGCCTAGAACTCACAGTCTCCTGGTTTCTAGGCTAGCACCTTAACCACTGCACCAACTGGCTCTTTTGCTTGTGGGTCTTCTTTCATCTGTTTATCAGTAGTTATCTGATATAATCATTATCCCCAGCATTTCTGTCTTGTTTTGCAGAGCCCAAGATAGTGAAATACTGAGTGAAAGAGTTAGCATTTCCAATGGCATTGCACTTGGAACGTTGCAGTCAAATACAAATAATGGTGAGTTTCTCTTTATCAGAATTACGATCTTGTCATTCATGCAATTTCTTGAAAATCAGGGGGTTTGGGTGATTCTGTGTGAATTGCTCATGCAAGGGAATTTTCCCTCAAACATTCTGGGAATGGAGTGCTTATTGGCACTGAGGGATTCTTGTGGTTGTCCTTGACGTTGTTCTGAAGCCATAGGAATCAGTGATTATAAAGTCCTGCCTGGAGTTACCTATATATGACACTAAATAGCTATTTTGAGTAATTTTAAGAAACAGATAATTAGGTCTGCCAGGCATAGATTGTGAAATCAGTGCTACAAATGGTAGTACAGTCAGTGAAATTTATACTAAGGGAATGCTTATGCTTAGTACTATTTTAAATGAAAAAGAGTGATGTGCGATTCAAAGAATTTTTCTTCTCAGTGCTAATGTCAAAATTATGTTTCCCTTTTTAAAAAGGTCACAGTGAACCAACATTTCCTCTGCCTTCTACCAAACTCAGTAAGGTAGAAGTAAGAGAAAATAACAAGCTTGAAACACTGGATTTTGAAGCCTACGAACATGATAACTCTCTAAATGGGGAATACACTCTTCAAGAATCTCTGAGTGTGCATGATCAAAAATGTGATCAGGTCAATGTAGATGTAATAAAGACTCAGGATGTTGCAATTCAGACAACATCTGAAGATAATTTTGGTCGGACTGCATTAAGTGAAAATAGCGATAATCAGGGTCACAGACTGACCACTCACAAAGATTCAACTCATGTACAGAAGCCAGAGCAGGAAAGTCATCCCTCAGGAACCCTGAATAGGCTGAATAAGACTGTAGGACAAGCAGCCCAAAACAGTGTGAATCCGAATGGCACCAATGATAATGCATTTGTAAATGATAACCAAGTTCTACCAGAGACAGTTGTCAGAAGCCCAGTTAGTTCTCCTACAAAAATGTACCCACTTTACCGACAAGATTCAAAGCCTAAACCTAAGCCTTCCAATGAAATTACTAGAGACTACATACCCAAAGTTGGAATGACTACTTACAAAATAGTACCTCCCAAATTTTTGGAAACAGTGAAGAGTTGGGAATTAGATACTATAGAAAGCCAAGAAGCAGCCATTTCTCCCAAGAATGAATATTCCCAAGAATTTGGTACACAAACAGAAACTGCTAATATCTCAAAAAGGCTGAATCATACAGCACCTGATTTTAAAAATGAAGTTACATTACATGGGGTAGAGAATGAGCCACTGGCTACAACATATACTGTGGTTGATCATAGCCCACTTTCCTTCTCTAATGCTAAAGGCCAGAAAATGGAGCTAGAACATACCACGCCTAATCAAGACCATCTAATTCCTCCTTTAATTCTAAATCCAGGAAACAAAAGTTCTCCGCCTAAAGTGAAAGAAAAACCAAGAATCTTAAGTTCTCCAGTAAGGCCAAGCAATTTTTATTTGCAGATACAGAGGAGGACCTCAGATCATTATGTAACTTCAGCAATTGCAAGAAGTGGTTCTCTGAGCAGCCCCACTCAGAATGAAGCTAAGACTATAGAGACAGAGAAAAAGCTGGCATCGCCAGATCAAGCTTGTTTTCCGTTTCCTGGAACAATTACTGTTCCTTCTCAATTAGCAGAGGAAACTACTGAAAATGGATGTAAAGAAGAAGAAAGAAAAGTCATCACTTCTCCTGTAAAAGTGCCTCAACCGCCAAATTCTCCTGTAAAAGCGTCTCACCCGCTGATTTCTCCTTCATCCCAGTCTTCTCCATTAAATTTGAAAACTCTGAGGACTTTTGTTTTGCCACAACCATATTCCTGTCCTAAACCTTCACCTTTTGCTCTTGCTGTATCATCAGCAGTTAAAAGATCACAGTCATTCAGTAAAACATGCTCCAGTACAACCAGACCATTAAAAGAACAATCTTCTCTTGACCTTAGCTCATCGGTATCCAACACTGAGATAAAGGATCCTTCGCCTGTACTGAGTCCAACAACTCAGATACAGCAGAGTCTGACAGACAAGGTAAAACTTGCATTTAACATACATGCATAGTAGCATTCCACCTCCCCCACCCCCGGTTCTACCCCTTCTTATTGGAATATTTGAGTAAGTTATTTATCCAACATTACTTGCAAAATAAGACAGTCATGTACAACTTTGAAAAGATAGCTGTGTTACCCAACTGCAGTAAAAAAGAACAAAGAATTTTGTGGCACCTTTAAAAAAAACCCCAATAATAATAAATTAATGATTTATTATTCTGGATCCATGAAAGCATAATAAATGCGTTAGGTGCTACAATGCTTTGTTGTTAGAAATCTAGAGTTCTTTCAACATGTGCTCAGAATGATGGTAACACGCTCAGATAACCTTACTTGGGCAATGTTTTAACCCAGCAGAAGAATAACGATGCAAGCTATGAGCAAAACAGGCAGGCAGCCCCTTTATTCAACCATCCAGCCACCGCTATCTGTGAGAGAGGCATTGCTGCAGCCATCCAACGCCCTGACCCAGAACAGATTCACCAGAGCTTGCTGGCTGCAATCCGCTCTGGAGAGGCTGCTGCCAAATTGAGACGGGTGAGTCACTGTCCTCCCTTCTCCCCCTCCTCATTAAAGCAATAGCAGTGGATTCCCAGCGCTTCTTTCAAAGTCAGTACAGCAATCTTAATACGATAAGCGAATCTTGTGAATGTGTGATTTTTTTTATCATGCCAATCGGAAATAGATCTGAGTTCAAAATTGTCATTTCTGACCTTGACCTGGTTAAAGGAACTTATAAATGAATATGGGATATTTCCTTCCTTCTTTGCTATGGAAACAACAATCAGCTAACTCATTTTAGAGGTTTATTTATTTATTTGTTTGTTTTATTTATTAAATTTTCAACTGCCCATCTCCCCCCACTGGGGGAACTCTGGGCGACTCACAACAAACATTAAAAACATAAATATATATAAATACATAAAACATTAGTTAAAAACATTAGTTAAAAACATT